TCAGGATACCTAACAACACGTTATCTTCTAGTTTTATTTATGTAATAAGACTACTATAAAATGGTTTTCATACAAAGGTTTTCAAACAGAACAATGCTTAAACAACATAAGTATGGTAGATACTGGTACACCACGATTCAGATCAGATAATTCAAATAACGTACACTTAAGGAAAATATAGGATTTTCCGGAGTAATCATCGGTATTTTACAAATAATCGGTTCATTATTTAACTAACGAACATTCATTAGTAATTCCATGACTGCTTAGTTTATGCATCCAGGTTACGTATGAAGAATATCTGATAGACTGTGGAATGTGTGTTTTCCGCCTCATTCCCTGTTCCTTGTTTGGTTGTGGGTTTAGGGCAGATTCACACAATTAACTGTCTACCCGATATTGGTTTATGCATAATTAGTATGAACTAAGAAGTCATAGAAGGAATGGGTTAATCTTACTTTACATAAGAAAATATTGGATTTTCTTGAGGAATACTGTCAACAGACATCAAAGAATCGTTTTTACTTAACATTCATTTCATCAGCAAATATAAGGTTTTCAGGAGAAACATAACGTACTTTTCGAAAGAATAAAGAATAGTTTTCTAAAACCTAACGCTTATGAACTCACCAGCTTTATGCTGATACTCTTTCAAAACCTACTTGTATTCTCAGGGCATTAGTAGACCGGTACACGCACCAGGTTCATGAAGATGGAGCATAGTAGTTTCGAGTCTTTACTTGTTATTTACTTTTGGAGTCAATCGTGTATGATTCAAATGTATTGTAAACCTTATACTACAAATACAATGGTTGTGTTTGCTTTGATTACTATTATTCAATTGTTATGATACTACAAATGACGTCCTCCACCCCCGAACGTTTCCGCCGTTTCGGTTTGGGGGTGTGACACATCAAAACAATCAAGCCTCATTACTCACTCATATATTTAGTAATAAACATTTATGACAACTCATATATCTAACATCATATGCCATGATTCGTGTACAGTCAACATGTCTCAATTATTTGTTTGTGTTATCATTATTGCTTTTCAATTATTTTTAGGAATTTTTTGTCAACATATTACTAGAAGATTCCCCTGAGGCAACAAGAAGCAAGGCTAGTACAAGGGACACATCCAGATACATAAAATTCAACATTTAACAATCAATCATCTCCCAACTCTTTTATGTGCTTAAGGTTTTATAAAAGTTTTTTTTAAAGACATCTTCCTCCATAACATGCATTTCTTGAATAAGATTTGCTTCATTTCTTCACAATTTTTCATGGATCGATGCTTTGGTGCTTGGATTTTAGTTAAAATTCTAGAAATTTGTGGTATGAAAATAATTCAATTAGTTGCTCTTATCTTCTGATTTTTTATAGTTCTGCAAAAAAAAAAAAAAAATAACAGTGCCCACATCACTTGAATGGTTTGATAGACTACATAAATGAAATATTTAAAGGTAATTGTGTTCGTGTGATATCAAATGAAGTTGGTATCCTACAAGATGCATTTGGCACTATAATTCAATGATCACATATTGTAATTGTTCTCACTAAGGTACATCTTCATTATCCTTTCCCTTTTTATCTACTAATGAATAATATTATCTTTTGTTGAAAAAACAAACAACATATTTGTTCATTTTTACTAAAATTTCTAAACATTACTAGCATACATTATGTTCTCTTGGTGATTTGCCTTGGAATCATGTCATATACATTTTGGATTCTCCGATGAAGTCTATGTAAAATCCTGTCAACACCTACTACTTGCTCAAAATTGTGGACATGTAAGAAGATTCTTAATATGGCATGAAAATAACATTTTTTTTCTATAAACTTGAACATAACTCAATTGCTTGTTTATTTTCAAGGCTTTTCCTTGGTATGAATCAGCTCTAATTGTATAGATGATGGCTGAGGTAATTTATCTTATTACTTATCAAACAATTAGATGTTGTAGTTTCACTTATCTTATTTATGCTTACTTTATATCATAATTTTAGTGCAACCAAGTTGGCGTATCTGAGAGTTAGTTGAGTGAGCACTATGTAATGAAATAGATGTTTGATTTTGTGATGACCATACAATATGGATTCCCGAATGGAGTAACAAAGTACTTTTTCATTTTGTTTGTAGCAAGAAACTATCAGTTAAGTTATTGATTAGTTTTAATTTTATATTTCCTATAGTTTGGTACCCTATAAATGAAAAAAACTCCTTTAAAGGAGAAGGCGTTGGTTATGACAGCTGCTATGTGGGCCAAAAAATGAATAGTTATATGAATGATGTTGCTGCCTAAAAATGTATATGTTAATCTTTATAACATCCTGCTTTTTGTTTAATGACTGTCTCTTAAATTCAATAGTTTTGAAATGTTAGACAAAAAACTCATTATTTGTTGTGTTTATTTTTCAGCGGGGATGGATGATAGCTGCTACACTTGATTATGTGATAATCCCACTTGGATGTGATAATAATTTCTATTTTGTAAATTTTTATGTAGTAAGATATGACCAAATCAATGAGTTATTATGACACTTAAAACATGTTTATATCAATGACTATAATGGTTGGTTATTTTGCATGTCTATACTAACATAATTTGTTTATTAGAGCTTACTCTTTGTATTGAATATGTGTTTTGGATGTTAGTCTTGGTTTTTGCATACTTGTGATGGTGGTTAATTGTAATGTAGAGTAATTTTGGATGTAAATTCCAATAGTTATTTTTAGAAAAAAGAAGAATATTATAAAAAAATCAGCTGTTTATATGAAACGGTTGTTCGAATGTACCTGGTGCTAATTTAGTCATTATATGACCCGGTTTTGAGGATTAGAAACGGATTCTTTTGTCATTAAATGACCCGGTTTTGTGTGGTGAAACCGTGGCCTAATCTCTTTATGTAACCTGGTTTTACGTGTTCTGAAATCGTTATATGTCCCGACTTTTATATAGAAACCGAGTTTATTCCAGGAAGATAGGACCCGATTTTGAAACCGGGTTTTATTCATTATTTTGTATAGGACTCAACGACTATAAGACCCGGTTCAAAACCAGGTTATTTAATTCTTGAAACCGGGTTCTATAAGCTTTTTTGTAGTAGTGCGTGTTCAAAATTTAATACGAAATTGACACGATTTAGCATTTGTTTGTCATGTTTTTCGTGTCAGTCGTGTTTGTTGTGTTATGTATGATTAATATTAATTAAATAAACTAATTGTTATATTATCTTATATTCGTCATGTCGTGTCGTGTTTTTCGTTTTTTAATCGGTTCGTTTTCGTGTTAGTTAAAAAAAACATGACATCGTGTAGTGTCGTGTTCGTGTTACATAAAACCTTGTCGCGTCGTGTAAGACAAACACGACACAATGGCCCGATTTGCCACCCCTACTGATATCACCAAGCAAGCACCTTGGATTTAGGGACGAAGTCGCGTCAAGAGAATGGAGTAGAAGAAGAATATGCAAATTTACCCTAGAACCGTTAAGCGTTATACAGGGAGGATTTCAGTACACCGACATGAGATCGTGGGTGGTTTAATGGAAATTGGAAGTTGTAGGTTTTGATGCTGGAACGTGGGAGAAGCAACTAGTAAATTCAGCAACTGGTATATACATTGAAGCGTGGGGGTTGAAGAGACGTGGGGAGGAGTTGAAACGGAAATAGACGCTGCGATCTTCAGATCGTAAAGGAGACCGTGGGCAGAACGAATATGGTCGTGATATAACCGTAAATAGTGAGTTTATGCGGCAGTTATGCGAAGTTTGAGAGATCCGAGGGCAAAAAATGAGGGAGTGGTTTCTGACGCCTAGCGTTAGTTATATTAATAATTAATTTTTTTTGACAATTTTAAATTTAACATCTCATAAGGTAATCCAATAAAAACCTTGGTTTATTGTGGTTGTTTTATTTTTATAAGCAATTTAACATTTAGTTATACAATTTCATTATTTTTTTTATTAATTTGCAATTAAAATTGTCTCGTATATTTTAAAAAATAATTTATATATTTATTTGAATCAACGATTATAATTCTAAACAAATAACAAAACATAAATATTTTAATTAACAATTTATTGAAAATATTTAATCAATAATTATGACTTTTACTATAAGAATTTATTTATTTTTGTAACCGTGGTTTCCACGGGCTATAACTTAGTTATATAATGTTTTTAAGTTAATGTAGTAATTGTAGCATATAATTATTTATTCCGCATTTATTATGGTAAAGGATATATTTTTTACTAAACTATGATGTAAAATATATAAACTAAATACATTTTGTTTACCTGTCATTGTTGGTTAATTCTATTCCATTCAATAGTATTTCCTAGCTGCCAAACAACATATTTTTCTTACAAACAACACTTGTAAAACTGCAACTAAATCAATTTATCAAACTGCTTATGTATTATTATGTAACTATAAATGTTATTATTTTCAAAATGTTTACCACATTATAAAGAATTCAAAGGATGTTGGAATGCTTACGGCAAAGAGAATCGAAAAGGATTATTGATGATGGCTATTTGAACCTATTCTCCAAGACCATGAAAACAAACAACAAAATCTTGATTCCAATGAACTAACAAGTCGATTAGCGTATCAGAAACAAGGAATAAGTGAATGAGCTTGTGAACATAATCAAACTTAAGGAAGAAGGTAAAGTAAAAAAAGGGAATTGGATTGGGAAGAAAATGAGACTGACTTTTTGCTTGAACATCAAGAACAGCAGAAACAACAAAATTTCGTGTCACAAACCTTGCCAAATAGGCTAACCTGTTGAGGTCACTAAACATATTAATCAACTCCCAACAAAAATTTTACGCATATTGTTTACAATAATAGATTAACTTCTAATATAAAATACATATACCTTGTTATGCACTTCATCTAATCCGCATATATCTTCCTCAATTGTCCACTCCAAAAGTCATTTGTTATATGCTAGACATCATCTTCAACCTCAATATTGCAATCAGACTAAACTATCAAAACTAGTGCTTCTATGTAGGAATGCACAATGAATGTTCCGGGTTTTCCATACATCCCAAGATATTTGAAGCATTCAATGTTGGGCTCATACACCATAAGTGCACCCTGTTCATAACATATATGAGCATTTTCCACTTCCATTATAGGTTTACCACTCTTCCTAAATCCAAGTGTTGTTATTGACATTGACCAATATGGTGGTGCCTCAACAATAAATCTCTTTGTAAATGATTTCTCAACACCATTCTCTATCATCCATACACCACAAGCACGTTTCGTATGGCCATCAAATTCAAGTATGACAAGAGACTCCCTTACCTTAGAAATACACAACTGTTTAGGAGAGTGGCTCCTTAAACTATCTGGGAGGTCTACCACTCCAAAATTCTCATTAGTTATGTCAAATGACATTATAAAATTATTATTCGGTAACTCATTATCTATATTCATAGGGTCAAAAGTACACCAATAAATAAACCTATCAACAACCACCTGAGGCCAAAAGGTACGAAATGGTTTACTAGGAAGATTGTTAGATAGATTTCTCCATTTGCCTGAGCTTACAGTGTAAACTTTAGCTTCACAATGGCAGTTAGTTTTGTGAAATTGTGTGATCTCAACGATCTTAGGGTTACTAGTCACAGGGGAAACCCCAAAACCAAGATTGGTTTCAGGATCCAAATTAAACTTGTTAGGCATAGGAACAGTGATTGACTTTCTAATCGAAGGATTCCAACGAACAACCATCTCCGTTCTGAAGTTATAGCCATGGAAACAAAATAACCCGAAAGAACTACATACTATCTTTGCTTTTTTGAGTAGTTTAATGGAGTGAGGAAGGGTATAAACAAATTCTGCTGAGGGAAAGTGTCATCATCTATGAAAGAAAGATACTTTCCAACAGTGTCAAATCCCTTATCTTCGTACCTTACAAGCTGATTCTGCGATTGAGTAACGCTGTGAGCAGCGATATAATTAGAGTTGTCGATCAAAGATTTCCATGTTTTCGAGACGGATCTGAACTGAAGCAATGATATGGTAGGAAGCCTTTTGATGATCAACTCTTGGATATCGAAAGGAACTTCGTCGGACATTTTGATTTCGGATGCTGCTTCGTATGAAATTCTAGGGTTTTGTAATCGGATGGTGAAAGGGGGGATTTGGGAAATCGTGTGTTATTAGACGATTTTTTTTAACGGAAAATACAATATAATCCTAAACTACTCCTAAATCCACCTATGTCTCCAACGAGACTTGAACCCTCAACCTCAAGGAAGGAGGGCAACAGATAAGCTACTCACACTGAAAAAATCCGAAACTCAAATGACATTCCGCATAGAACAAATAAGCTACTCACACTGGAACTCACCCCGGAGGAGGGTTACGAGGTAAGCTCACGTGCCAAGAAAGCACTCATCTAGTGAATGTTGGAAACCATATACTTGTTGAAGTAATGAATGGTGAAAATTGAGATATTCCCATTTTCACACAAAAAAAAAACTCTCCCTGAATATTTGTGGTATTAGGGAAACTCCTATGGTTCGATGGGTGAGTAGATTACAAAGATCTCACAAAATCATTTTTCTACGTCTTCAAGAAACTCGGCTCTTAAACTCGTCCTTTATTGATATTTGTGGATGTTGGTGAAACAATAATTTTATGTTCGAATATGTAAATCTCACCGGTAGGTCGGGGGTATCCTCGATATTTGGGATCCCTGCTTATTCTCTTTTTGCTAAACACCCTCAAATTTTGTTATTTTATTGCAACAATTGGCTCTTGGAATGGATTGGTTGGGCCTATCATTATTATTAACATTTATGCCCCTCAATCCACACTAGACAAGAGTATGGCGGGATCTTAGAGACCTTAAAAACTCCACTGCTGGATTGTAGGTTAATCCATACTAGACAAGACTAAAGCGGGATCTTAGAGACCTTAAAAACTCCATTGTTGGCTTGTAGGTTATCTGTCGATATTTCAACATGATTAGGCGTCCGAATGAACGACTAAATTCTTGTTTTTGTCCAATTACAGCATCTAATTTCAACCAATTTATTGTCATGGTTAGTCTTCTTGAACCACAAGGGGGGGGGGGGGGGCGTGTTTCACCTGCATGTACTATGGTGGTCAACAGTTAAGTAAGCTGGATCGTTTCCTTTTATGTTCTAGCTTCATCTCCAATCACCCTCACACTTTCGTCACTGCTCTTCCAAGAGAGTTCTTTGATCGCTTTCCCATTATCCTAAGGACCTCATTTGAGAACTTCACTCCCCCCCATTCTGCTTCGTCAAACCTTGGTTAATACGAGATGATTTTAATGTGCTATTACTTAACACATGGTCTTCCATTATCCTCTTTTGGTCTCCTGACGTGGTCTCATCAGTGAAGCTTAGACATCTTAAGAATGTACTAAAAAATTGAGAATCGATACAAACAATAAAGAATCGGTCAATTTTATTTCTACAAAGAAGAAGGTGGAGGAATTAGATAGGGCAGATGAAGACAGGTGGCTTAGAGATCAGGAAATCATTACTTTAGGAGGCCAAGAAAAAGATGCTTGATTTTTAGTATATCAAGAGATCGAATCTTAAACAAAAATCGTGAATAAAAAGAATCACTAACGACAAAGAAAACTCAAGATTCTTTCACGGTTTAATCAACAATCAACAACCGAATGCGCAGTAACAGAATCCACTGTCTGTTAATTAATGGTTATTGGTCTTTTGATCCCGCCTGCATAAAAATTAAGTCATGAACTTTTTTAGTGAAAAATTCTTTGAAAATGGCATATTCGCCCTAAACTTGTAAGCCCCTTTTTCAAGTCACTTTCATCAGATTAGGGTGCTTCATTTGATGCTCCGTTCGACATCCTGGAAATAAAAAGGGCCATACAAAAATGTGGCAGTGAAAAGCACCGGAACCGACGGGTTCACTTTCAAACTTCTCAAAACTCACTGGCGTATTATGAAATCTGACATAATAGCCTTCTTTAGACACTTTGAAATGTTTGGCTCATTTGCATAAGGACGTAACTGTTGGATAAGGTGTCTAAGTCTGTAACTATATTTGGTATAAACTTGACTCGACCCGGCATGGTCCATTTGAGTTGCACTTCACCTAACAATTTGTATGGATATACCTTTGAGAATAAGATGTTTATGATCTATTAATATATTATAAGTTATTATATATTAATATTATTTAATTAGTGTTGATCAAGAATTGATTTTGGAATTAATTTAATGATCAAAAGAGGCTAATTAAATATGGATTCTTACATATATATGGATTGGGCTAAGAGTATATGGAAGTCCATGGATAGTCCATGGAGCTTTTAACCCATGGATCCTAGGTAAACGAAGAGTCATGTGTATTAGGGTGTAACCATAATGCTCCATACTATATAAAGAGGTCATTGGTTCTAGAATTGGCACTAATGTGTGTGAGAAACAAGAGTGGGCTGATTTTAGTGAGCATCATATTCTTTCAAGTATTTCCAAGTTGTTTTGGGTGATTTGTGATACAACTTGAGGCATCCACACTATTGGTGCTAGGCTCTAAAACTCCAAGCAATCAACCACAAAAGAAAGGTATGTTATTCTACTTAAAGTTTTATATTACAAGTACCCCATAACATGCTAGTTAGGTTGTAAACCTTGGAAATCAACTTTGCATGTATTTTAGAGAAAACATAGATCCAAGGTTTCTAGGGTTGCATGTACACCATAGGAGTGTTAGAATGCTCAAAACCCAACAGTGGTATGAGAGCCTGGGCTTGTTTTCTTGATACTTGATGCAAACTTGTTGAAAAAGCTCAAAAATCTGCTATCTGCCTCATGAACTCCCCGAGTCCATGGGGGGACTCAACGAGTCCATGTGATAATTCATCCTACTCGTCGAGTAGGTTCTTGCACTCGACGAGTAGGAGCCCCTGAATGCAGATTTTCGAGTTTTCTGCTGGAAATCGACTAGAAACATTACCCTAAACTGTTTTGGTGTTTTAAAACTTGTTTTAGTTGGTGTAATGCTTATGCTAATCCATTTACAATGGCTAATATCAAAATTCCATGTTTTATATGTGTTAATATGATCCTTGAAATTTTGATATGAATGTTCATGTTCTTATGAGTTATGGTTAGATCATAGGAATTAGTTGCTGAATTGTTTGATGATTGATTTTTGATCTTAATGCCTAATGATGGAGTCCATAACTTGTCCTCAAGTTATGGATAACCAAAAGTCACTTCTTTAAAATTGTCATTAAAGAATAAGAGGTTACATAAAATGAAGAGTCTTCACTTTAATGGACCATTAAACTCATAAGTTATGAAATGAAAAGTCGTGAATAGTTTCAATTCTTGCCCTCAAGTTTGGAATTTGTAAAGTCTGGCACATTAATACTTTAAATTCCAAATTGAACCTTAGTTTTTTAAAAGATTAAAATTCAACCCTTATACTTCTATAATATTAAAAGTTTAATTATATATATATATATATATATATTATATATATATATATATATATATTATATATATATTATATATATATATATATATGTATAAGAATAAGTCGGTCTTACCGTTAGTAGGCCTCATTCACGAAGCCGGTCTATAAGGGGGGTATAAGGTTGTTGCCTATAAAATGGCACCTTAATGGGTGTCCACTCTCACCCACCGCTTCCTTGACTGGTGGAGGGTCGTTAGCCGAACAGTTAGGATAGGACCATAATCCTCATTAAAAGTATAATGAAATTATAAAGTAACTAAACCTTTATTAATTCCCAATCTTAGTTACTTTAGGAAAATGTGAAATAGGTGCTAAGCCATGAAATTACACTTTGTACCTTACCAAGTCGTTAGTGGAGCGTGTGTGGTTAATTGGCACACTAATAAGGACTAGTAAGAGCGGCAAAGGGTAACTTGATTTTATCATAGATCGGTGGAACGCGTGTGGTTAACCGGCACATCGATTAGGTGATAAAGTTGAGGGTACCAAGTCAATTTGCATGGTTATTCACACCTTGTTTGTGATCCTCGGCATCCCAGTCACAAACTTGAGAGGGCACAATCGAGATTCAAACATGCCATTGAAAGTTCAATGTATCTCAAAAGATATTGGAGTTTCAAATCCAATTAAAAACATAATAATCTTTTTCGTTTTTTATGGTGGAAATTGGTAAATCGTCATTTACCTACCTTCAACTATTTTATAACTAGGATTACGACATCCCTCTTCCAGTTATAAATAGGTTGTTGGGTCCTAGCCATAATATTTCATTTGGATGACTTATTAAGGACTCTTTATCTAATAAAAATTTGTCTTTCTTTCTTTCAGATGTCTTCCAACACTGCTACTGGCTCAAACCCTACATGCTCCTTTTCGCTAATGAACTTGTGTGGGAAAGTCACTTTTGATCGTTCCGATTTCAATAAATGGATTAGGAACATCAGAATGATTACTGGCTATGAGGGGAAGGAGTATGTCCTTGACAGAGAACTGAAGGTTGTTGATGAGTCAACTGCTACTCATGAGGAGATTGCTGAGTACATTACTCATGAGAAAGATGCCACTAAGGTGTCTTGTATCATGTTGGCCACAATGACAGCAGAACTCCAGAAATCCTATGAAGATTTCTACCCTTTTGAGATGCACCAGGATCCGATGGATAGGTACCATCAGAGTGCTCGTCAAGAGAGGTATGATGTCATTTCCTCCATGATAACAGCTAGGATGAAGGATGGTGA